GGTGAATGTAACAGCGACTATGTTCATCAAGAAAAGTGCATATGTTGTCATACGCTGCAATCGAGTGAAAACGAGTTAATTTCGGTGCATGTCAAGATGCATGAGCGATTATTGTTTACCGAGGCCTACGGTAACGAGAGGACAAAATTTTTCGTCAAGTCGAGAGGTAGATGAATATTTAACTACTAAATTCCACGTAGAAGAGAACGTACCTAACCTATTTTTACTCTGCAGACGAGCAATTGATCACCGAACTGTCATCGGACACAACCAGGACAAAGTCCTTTTATTCTGGTATTCTATCGATTGCGAAGGAAGTATTTTTACCTGAAGGATATCCTGACAGCGTACACCCCGATTATACGTCGTACCAAATATGGGACACTGTACAGGTTAGTGTATAATAACAAATTTCATTGCTACTCAATAAAAATGCTCTTTTCGAAGCTAGTGATCATATAAATATTTCATTACTTTGTACGAAATCTGTTGTTAATAGTTCTTTCATTAAGATCACTTGTGCATTGATTGTGTTAACGTTACTTTAAGTCGTGTTATGATATGTATTTGTTGCTGTATCGTAATGTTTCATTCTCCAGGCATTTGCAAGTACCATAGTCGGTACTCTGACAACACATTCCATTATGCAAGGTGTAGGTGTAGGTGAAGCTGCGGCAACACCACTGGCTGCAGCAGTCACGTGGATATTGAAAGATGGGACTGGAATGGTCGGTCGTATTGTATTTGCATGGTGGAATGGGTAATTGATGTCATTTATAAGGGATTATTTAGTCTCCACATTAGAACATATATCGTTTTTTATTCATTAGGACAGACTTAGATGGACAATGTAAAAAATGGAGACTTTTTGCAGACATTCTTTGTGATCTAGCAATGGGGATAGAATTGCTCTTACCTTATTATTCCTCTTACTCTCTTGGAATATTGTGCATTTCAACAGCTATGAAATCAATTGTTGGTGTTGCTGGTGGAGCAACCAGAGCAGTAATCACACAGCATCAGGTATAGAAACCTGAAAATAAGTAGATTTCATTTATTATTTACAGATCATCTTTGTGTATTCAGAATGCTTATTTTTACTGTAGGCATTACAGAATAATTTCGCAGATGTCTCGGCCAAAGATGGTAGTCAAGAGACATGTGTAAATTTAGTAGCATCGTTTCTGGGAATTCTGATACTTTCTGTTTTTCATGGTAGCAGGTAAGTGTGCAGTTGGACATATTATTTTATTACCTTCATAAGTATCGTTTGTGATCTTATGATGAATATATCGATAATATTGTGATATACCTATTCTATATATAATCCGCATGTAGATACATAATGGAACTCTATCTCTTTCTGGTGGTAGTACATCTATATGCAAATTACTCGGCTGTGAAATCTCTGCGTTTGAATTCTTTGAACGAAGATCGTGCCGCGTTAATAATCAAAAGTTATATAACTAATGAAATCATTCCTGGCCCTGAAGAAGTTAATAAAAATGAATCAGTGCTATTGCTCTCAAAACCTAGTAAGCTTCATTGATTTTAGTATTATGTCTTAAATGAATGAGTTGCCTCTGTACATTATTCTTTTGCAGCAAAGAGTATATGTGGGTTTAATATAAAAATGGGTGCCTCCCTTGCCACTCTTATAAAGAAAAATATTATTTCTACGAGTGACATTGATCTGTCGTTAAAACTATTTTTAGATAGAAAATATTTGATTTCCATTGATATAGAGAGTAGGACTATTTTTGTATCATTTAAAAAGGACGCGCTACCCTCGGATGTTTTGGAAGCGTATTTGCACGCCTACCTTTGTGGTTTGTGCATCTGCATGTTTCTCAAAGTGCCACTTGTAAGCCATATACAATTACTTATTTCTAATCCCACGTGTACTTATGTATTTAAAAGTATTATACATTTCAAGGATCTCTTTTTAAAACCGGAAGTAAGCGATTTATCGTACCCTTTATTGCGCCTTTACGTGTTTAGTAAGAAATACTCTATTTCAAATAATGGCGCGCAGTCTTCAAAAGCGATAGAAAGCATTTACGTTACTAATTTACTGATTTCTGGCGAATATAAAGCATTTATTAGCGGTCTT